ATATTTTACCTCTTATTACTTTCGTAGTATTGTAGTGAACAAGAACACGAGTGGGAGACAATCAAATGTATTTTTAGCCAGCATTACAGAATATCTCATTAAAATATGAAAACCATATTACTTACGCCTGTTACTCCCAATGGAGCATAGGTCACCTACCAACGTTCACCAATCCACTCTGTCCTGAGCCTCCCTTTCTAGTTCTATCCAGTTTTTGTTCATTGTTCTCATCTTTGTCTCTATTTCTCGACGTAATGTGTTCTTTAGTCTTATGAGAACCATATAGTGAACAGTTAATTTGCAAAATAACAATCGATTGTCACAATTTGACTGTTTCTTCTGCAAATATTGCTCCATAGTCGCCGATTATAATTGTTCATGCATTTTCGTACTAATGGCGTGCCGTTCCAGTTCTCACCTTATCGATCTTCTACTGAAATACATTCAATGCCCGATCATCACCATATGCTACTTATATGGATATCAGTAACCCACACCACAGTAATTCTGTAATATTTGAGTTCAATGTATTTCGAGTCATATTTCTTAATAGAATATATTAACTGATTTACTAGCTCTTTTATGGACCTAATGTTATACTCAAAAGGAGTTCTGGGTTCTTGGCTTATACTATTCTTGACTCTATAAAAGATAACTGACCGAATCAGTCTTTAATTTCTAATCGACTGTTTGGTGGGTTGGCTTTTCTTTAGAAATATTATGTCGTTGCTTTTACTTGATCTGTCCCGATTTTTTCACATTTCATTGAAGTAGTGATCACAGTTGAGTTATATGCACTATGAAATCCTGGATGATTGCCAATGACTTGGGTAGCCAAGTTGTTGTCTGTCACATCAGAAACAGACCTACTGTTGTGTTTAGGTTTTCTAAGTGCCTCTTGGCAATTACTTGAGCTGGAATAAATCCAGTTAAAGCGAAAAAATATCCATAATCCAATACTGATAAATACCATGTGCTCACTAGTGACTAGCTTCAATATGGATTTCCTGGAGTTCTAGTGAAAAGTTGTAACCAAGGGAGTTCATCTGTGTCTGTTATGAAGTAGCTACTCGTTGAGAACAATGAAGGACGGTTACGCAATATCGTGGATTAGTTGAAGTTAGACATTAACACCATTGGATGCCGGCTATCTGACAATTAGAGAGTGGTAAAGCAGAAGGATCTGACGCTATACTAGCTGTAGCATTTAATTCAGACATAGAAGTAACTGCAAGCATGCTTAACTTTCTATCAGGAAGATTTTTAAGGAGAAACCAGTGTCACATAAAGATTTCAAAGAATGGAGATCTGAGCAAATGTGAAAACTACAGAGGCATCACACTACTAACACTACCCCAAAACGTTTTCAACGGAGTTTTACTCAACCGGATGAAGGAATCAATAAGCTCAAAACATTAAGGACAGCAAGCTGGATTTTGTAAGGAAGGTCGTCCACAAATCAAATCGCAACGATGCACATGATTGTTGAGCAGTTAGTTGAATAGAATTCGTCACTATGCATCAAATTCCTTGACCATGAGAGGGCGTTTTATGGTGTCGGTAGGAGGACCATATGGGAACTTCTACGACACTACGGTGTACCTGAGACGATCGTCAACATCATTCAGAATTCATACGAAGGACTACAGTGCAACGTCGTGCATGGGGGATAGCTGACAGATGAACTACAAGTGAAGACCTGTGCCAATCAGAGCTGCCTACTTTTGACCTTCCTCTTTATTCTGGCGGTTGACTGGATTATGAAGACCTCCGCATCACAGGTAAAGCATGGAATACAATGAACAATTCATCTAGACTATCAAGACCATGCAGATGACATAGCTGTCCAACTTATTAACGGTAACAAATCTGGATATAGACAGTAAATTTAGGCGCAGCCTCTGAAGCATTACAGTTCAACATACACAAAAGGGAAAAAAGAAGATCCTGAAATACAACGCAGAAAACACCAACCCGAATAAAGTTGATGGAGACGTTCTAATAGTGGTGTGAACGTCTGCGTTCATGTACAGAATCATCGATAAACTATGAGGATCTGATGCAGATTTAGATCTAACAATTCGCAAATCAATGGCAACGTTCTTGTAATTGCAGAACTCAAAACGACCGTCAGCCAAGATCAAAGTCAGAACCTTCAATACGGAAATCAAGACAGCTTAGATGTATGGAGCTGAAACTTGGAGAACTGCCACGATCATAATTAAAATATGAAAGTATTTTTAAACAAATTTCTACTCATATAACTCAATGTCCGTTTGTCAGATACCATCAATAACAATATTCTATGAGAGAAAACAAAACAACTTCCAAAGGAATAAGGAATAAGGAAATGGAGTAGATGCTTCAAAATACAGACGATGCAGAAGTCATCAAATTGGATTCCTGAAGGAGGAGGAAGACAAAGGAACATATTGCATCAATAATCTGAAGCAGACAGTGAATAGCAACTGTAAGGGATTGCTTATGACAAAGTTCAATAGAGACTCAGGGTATGCAAACTATGCTCTTATAACCTTTAAATCTCCTCGATAGATAAAAACAATAGGTTATTAGTAATGTTGTTGTGATTAAGAAGCACCATTGAACCCAGTGTTTAAATGCATGCATGAACCACATTGTTTCTTTGACAAATAAATTTTACGACAAAATGTTTACAAAAATGTTTCACTTTCAAGTCATATTCATAGTTATTGTTTTTTGGAATTGACTGATTGACTGATAATATCACTTTAGTGATAGCAAACATCAAAATAACTATCTACATAAGTTAACTGTCATTTAGAATTAGCTGTCAGTTAGATAACAGGGAGACAAACATAACAAGGTACTTTAATCTTAACCTGAATCGATTTCCAGACCATTAACAATCAGTAGACAAGTTAGTGATGTTCTCAAATTCCAGTGCTTCCGTAAATTGTATAAAGCGAACTTATATAATTCTCTAATATATTGAATAAGAGTCATAAATCACTACTATTACAACACTCTTAAAATGCTGAGCTAAATGTTATTATAGTTGAGATCATGAGTCAATTAAAGCTAGACCACCATGGTCAATCTTGAACCACTGGACGATCGTTTCGTCCTATTGTGGGACTCCTCAGTGGCAGTGCGAATCCACGATCCCGCCTCGCAAGATTCAAACAAATCTTCTGAAGAACATATACTTGTACTTCCATTATTATTGAACCATTAAATTTTTTCGATCTGGTTCAGCTCAACCATTTTGAAATCAAGTTCATACTAAAAAGCAATAAGTCAACCATACGTTATGTTTTCTCGTTTAATATTTGAATTTAATATGACGAAAGTGAACTGTAATGCAATTATTCATTCTAATATGTAATCACAAACATTTATTTAAACTGTATTTAGAACTACACTACTTTATATTAATCAGTAGTTCACATTTTATGCAACAAATTTAATATCAGAAAGGGCTTTGTGGATATCATAGTGATTTTTTAATAGTTGAGACTGGCTCCATAAGGTATTTCCTTGAGTTCTAGTGAGAAGTAGTGACCAGTGGAGTTCAACCGGGTCTGTTGTGGTATATTAACTCACTGAAGGCAATGGTGGATGTGTCGCTCAATATCGTGGATCGGTTGAAGTTAGACGTTAACACCGTTGGATGCCGGCCGACTCAGTGGTCTAAAGGTTAAGCGCTCGCACGCGAAATTGATAGGTCCTGGGTTAGAATCTTGCGACGTGAGATCATGGATGAGCACTGCTGAGTAGTCCCACAATAGTACGAAACGATTGTCTAGTGTACTTTCAGGTTTTCCATGGTGATCTAACTTCCATTGATATATGGTCTAAACTATAAAAAAACCCAGATTTAATGCTATCGATTGTTCTACATTCGGCATTTTTTCTAACAAATAAGTTGGTTCATACTATTTGTCTCTTATTTCGGCACATTGGTTCATTCTCACATATTTAACAATAGTTGTTCATTTATTCTCCGTGGTTTATTTACGGTTTCTCTTATTTTGAAATGACTTCCTAAATAGCAATTATTTCGGTAAATTACATTTATTTCCCAATGACTTGATAGTGTTCTCTCCTTCTATCTTACTCTCATTTAAATGCACGAATTGTGTACCCTTTTTTCTGACTGTTTCAACTATGAAATAACCTATTGACAACTTGGCAATTCAATCATATTTAAACCTTTAGCACCTATAATTACTATATTTTGACGCGATGGCGTTTGAAGCGAAACTACTGGCTTCGAGTCCCAGAGTGAACATCAACTCTGAGATGCAAGTACATCCAGCTGACGATTCTCAAATAGGATGAAACGCGCGTCCTGCATTACACTACTTGCCACTACCCATCTTCGCGTACAATTATATATTCTGGTTTCAGGATTTTATATGAAACACAATCAATTATACAGTACCCTAAGGTTGATTTTACAGGAGTACAAATTGAACGAACCTAAACTATTTAGCATGACCCATTCTTTACTTGTTTTATCTTTTAATGTTTATATTACTCATCTTTCTTTTAAGTAGTCTGTCATATAAATCAAATATACTGTGGTTATTGTTTTCTAGGAAATTTATGTGCCGGAATTATGGTTTGTGGAAGTTAGGAACTCTAGAAACTAAAACGTTCCACATGCCACGTTTCTGATTGGATGATTACATATACTGCTACTATAATTAGTAGCGTCCTAGGATTTTCTAGAAGCCCAAAGTCATCTAAAGTTCTATGAATACCCTAGATTTTCTGTAAATAAGCAAACATTTGGTTAAAGCGTTTCTTCCATATTTCGTAGCTTTTTTCTCGTATTCAAGTCACTGTATAGATTTAGCTTAGGTACCTAATCTAGTGTTCATTCAGGATACTTCTCATTCACAAAAGGGATTTAATAAAGTAAATAAGAAATCATTTATTATTACATCATAAAATGTAACAATAACTGTAAATGTCTTATTAACAAATATATGTGAAGGTTTACTATTTCATAGTCAAGTATTCACTGAAAATGAAAAAAATAGGGAGATATATCGTTAAGTACAAAGTTGATCAAATTAACTTAATAAACATTGGAATAATGAACAATGATATTAATTTACGATATATAATCTCAGTAAGTTAACTACAACGTATTACCAGATACATGTATGCATCGGTCGAAGTTGCCACAACTCATCACCACAACATGATGAACATCAAATTCATTGAAGTAGTTACTTCAATGGTAGTAATTTATAAAAGAAACATTGCATATATGGATATGATAGAGAAAGAAAAAATAAGTTCGCAGAAAGAAAGGTATAAAGTAATTTTAATCTCATAGATTAAGAGAAGATGAAGAGTGTATACACCGAGGAAATTGTGATAGATTCTGAGTCTTGTCACTCAGAGTCTTCAACCATTGATTACGACAGTCGCGTAGACCCAATCAAGTAGTCCGCACCTATCAACATGGTTCACACCAACAGTTATTGACTTTTTGATCTGATACCACGTTTTGGTTTGACCACCCCTAAATTTCTTCTGTCTCCAACACTAGTCAGCATTGAATGTCGTGGTAATCGGTGTTCAGAAATACGTAACACATGGCTTTACTATCTCACTCTATGAGGATTTACAACCTCATCAACCGATTTACCATGATTCCCTAATACCCTGGATCCAACGTTGTTATTACTTACCAGGCAGATGTTAGCAATATTTCTAAGACATCTGAGGTCAAATACTAGTAACTTAAGAGTATCCTCTACTCTTAATGGCCACGTTTCACAACCGTAAAGTAGAACAGAACGAACTGCTGCGCAGTACACCCATCTCTTAATTGATAGACAGATATCGCGCATTCGCCATAAGTGGTATAAGTTGATAAAAGTCCACCGAGCATTTTGAATCCGTACAGGGATTTCGTCAGACACCAACTCATTATAGTTGGTATGACTTCCAAGGTAAGTGGGGTTGTCAACGCGTTTGACTACTTCACTCCCTATCCTTAGTTCAGGTGTTGACGCGGACCAGCCCTGAAGCAATAACTTGCATTTCGAGGGAGAGAAACGCATTTTAAATATCCCGGTTTTGTTGCTCAGTGCTATTAAAACACTGCATTTTGTTAGAGTCTTCACGAAACAGGACTATGTCATCTGCGTGTTCCAAGTCGATAAGTGGACTTTCTTTATAATAGAGATCTGTTCTGAAAATCCAGTCGACTAGAAAGCCATTACCAGCAGTTGGTCTTCAATGAAATTAAAAGGAAATAGAGATATTGGACAGCCTTGTCGAACACTTGTTGATGTTGCAAAACCAAATGACAGTTCGCCATAAGCTCTGACTCGACTGTTTGAGTTTTAGTAAAAAGTAATGACAAGGTTTATGTACTTCTGAGGTACACCTTGCAAGTACAGACGCTGCCAAAAATCTCTCGGTCGACAGAGTCGACTTCATGCCTGTTCTAAAACCTGACGATTAGTGAATATGTGGTCGATGCAGTTACGACCAGGTCTGAAGCCAGTCTGTGTTTGCAGTCACGAGTCTTTGTTAAGCTCCTGATAATTATTGAGGCTAGTATTTTAGATGCTATATTGATCAAACTAATCCCTCTATGGTTGTCACAGGATGATTTTGGTCCTTTCTTATATATTGGGACAATCAGTGATTGCTACCAGTCAGATGGTATTACATTCAGTTTACTGACTTTAGCGTACATGTTAGTCAATCAATAAAAAATCTTAACAAAAAAAAACAAGGTTACCAACTGACGTTGCTTCAACTGATTATCAATTTGTTGATGAATATTTTGTAAAATATTATGTGAAACTAAAATGTAAGAGAACAAAAATAAAAGGTTACAAACAAAGATGGTTAGTGGCTAGCAGTGGGATCCAGGACGTGTGTTTCTTTCTATTTTGGAACTCATCAGCTGGATGTACCTGCATCCTAGAGTTGATGTTCACTCTGGGACTCAAAATCAGTACTACTCGCTTCAAACGCCATCGCGTTATCCACTCAGCTACTGAGTCCTGATAGCCACCGGCCTGTGCAATCGGGTAAAGTTTTAATTCACACGGTATTGTTTGTTTGTATCTTCCCATTGACGTTTAGGACTGTAATTGATCAGTCTCTTATTGGCATATGTGAATACTGTGTATATTGTAAGCACATCCAGCTGACGAGTACGAAAGGGGACAAAGTAGCGCACGTCCTGGATTCCACAACTAGCCACTATTCATCTTCGCTTATAATGCTTATGAATTAAGGTTATGTCGATGCAATACTCATAGTATGCACATATGCCAATAAGAGACTGATCAATTTTAGTTCTAAACATCAATAAGCAGATTCAAATAAACAATACCGGATGAATATATGTTGAATGTTCAGTCTTTTTATGTAGATTATACGTTTCTTAATGTAGTGATAGTATGGCCCCAAATGACTACGATTTGGATCGATGAACTGAATGAGAAATATTGGTATGTTATTTTGAAAATCTTACTCACTTACCTATCTACTTACGCCTGTTACCCCTCGTGGAGGAGCACAGGCCGCTCACTAACAATTTTCATCCAACTCTGTCTTGGGCAATACTTTCCAGTGAACATTCATCCTTTTCATATCTGCTTCTATTTCCCGGCGTAATGTGTTATTCGGCCTTCATCTCTTCCGCTTCCCTTCTGGATCCCAAGTCAGGGCTTGCCCCGTGATTCAGTTTGGTAATTTCCTCAATGCACGTCCTATCCACTTTCAACATCTTTTCCTAATTTCCTCTTCAGTTGGAAGCTGTTTTGTCCTCTCTCACAGTAGGCTGTTACTGATAGCATCCGGCCAATGAATATTGAGTATTTTGCGTGTCGATTGCGGGCCAATTTATCAGAATGTCTGTTACCTTTGATCAATTTGAAGCTTTTCTAGAGCGCCATGAAAAATGTTTCGAACAGTTCCAGATTCATATTCTTGAAACACTAACGCAGCAAATGAACCTCAACAGGAATGGACTTACAGATGGTTCTTCTAAATCACATGCTGATTACACCATTTATTCCATTCATGAATTTCATTTTGATGGTTTATCAGGCGTAACATTCGAATCCTGGCACAAGAAATATGAAGATGTATTTAACGTTGACCTAGAGACGTTCGATGACGCCGCCAAGGTCAGAGTACTACTGTAGTGAACAGAACACGACTGGGGACAACCGAATGCATTTAAGCAAAGATTACAGACTATCTCAGTAAATTCTGATAACCAAACAATGAACAGCCAATTTGCAAATTGTGCGCATCCACGAACCCGCTCGCGCGAGATTCGAACCCAGGACCTACCAGTTTCGAGCCGAAGCCCTTAACCGATAGACCACTGAGCTGGCATCCAACGGTGTTAATGTCTAACTTCAACTGATCCACGAAGTTGAGCAACCATTCACCAATTGTTTCAATCTTCACAGTTTCTTCTCTTATTCTATTGCTCATGCATTTTCCAAACGATTGCGTTTCATTTCAGTTCTTTCCTCATCGGTCTTCTGCCAAAATACATTCTATGTCTGACCCACACCATATACTACTTATATGGATATAAGTAGACCACACCACACTACTACGAAAACTGGGGACTATTAAATATGAACGAGACACAGATTACATTCTTCCCAAGAACCCAAGAGAACTTTTATTTGAAGCAGCTGTTAATATTTTGTCGCAAAGTTTCGGTGAACAGTCTTTTTCATTCAATATTCGGTATCAGAGCCTGAATATAGTAAAAGCTGGCAACGACGACTGGGTGCAACATGCCAGCATAGTAAATCGTGAATATGAGCGTTTTAAACTATCAGCAATTACAGAATATCAATTAAAATGTCTTGTTTTTGTATGCAACTTACAGCCTCTAGAAGATGTTGACATCAGAACCAGAATTCTGAGTAAAATTGAACAGTGTTCTAATATCACCCTTCAGGAGGTGACTACTGAATGTCAGTGTCTGGTGAGCTTGAAAAATGACACCTCCATGGTAGAAAATAATGGTGGACTCCCTTGTGTGCAGGCAGTAAGTGGGAAAGAAGATTCCTATGTGCAAAAGCAGAACCCAACCATTTGGAAGCCTCCATCCGCATGTTGGTTTAGCGGAGAGCTGCATTACAAAAGGTTCTGCCTATACAGAAACTACCGGTGCATTAGATGTCAGCTCAGAGGACATTAAGAAACATGTTGTGGCAGCTGGACACTGCCTCAGACATTTCACTCATTAGCCGGAAAACATGGAGTCACATTGGCAAACCCTTGGTGCTCCCAACAACTCAGCACACAGTGCATACGGAGAGAAGTTAAATATGGCATGCCGATTACATTTGAAAATATTAAAGAAGCAAGCTAAAAAGATAATGCCTTGAAGACTATTCGCCATTTTCTAATCAATAAGTGACCTTCAGAACGATTGCAATGAGAGATTTTGTAATACTTCCGTCGAAGGGAATCTCTCACAATTATCAATTCTTGTATCATGTTTGGCCACTGCATTGTTATCCCAAGCACTCTCCGCAGACGAGTACTCAAACAGTTTTATATCGGGCACCCCTAATGAGCATAACGAAATCACTGGCATCACCTGGCCTTCTATGGACTAAGATATAGAACACTTGCGCCACAGATGCGAATCATGTCTAGAAGCAGCAAAGAACTCAGTTCTATTTGACAAAATATTGCCACCCAAGAAAACAATAAAACCTGCACACGAGTATGAGACGAGCTTACTTATTTACTTACTTTCGCCTGTTACTCCCAATGGAGCATAGGCCGCCGACCAGCATTCTCCAACCCAATCTGTCCTGGGCCTTCTTTTCTAGTTCTATCCAGTTCTTGTTCATTCTTCTCATGTCTGTCTCTATTTCTCGGCGTAATGTGTTCTTTAGTCTTCCTCTTCTCCTTTGGCCTTCAGGATTCCGTGTGAGGGTTTGTCTTGTGACACAGTTAGGTGATTTCCTCAATGTGTATCCTATCCACTTCCAGCGCTTCTTCCTGATTCCTTTCTCCACTGGAATCTGGTTTGTTCTCTCCCACAATAGAATGTTGCTGATAGTGTATGGCCATCGGATCCGAAGTATCTTGCGTAGCCAACTGTTAATAAACACTTGTATCTTCTGGATGATGGCTTTCGTAGTTCTCCACGTCTCCGCCCCATACAATAGAACTGTCTTGACATTTGTATTGAAAATTCTAACCTTGGTGTTGGTTCACAATTGTTCTGAGCTCCAGATGTTTTTCAGTTGTAAGTATGCTGCTCTTGCTTTACCGATCCTCGCCCTCACATCTGCATCTGACCCACCGTGTTCATCAATGATGCTGCCCAGATATGTAAAGGTTTCCACATCCTCCAGATGTTAACGTCTTCATGATCCAGTCGATGACCAGGAGAAAGAGAAAGGGTGAGAGTAAGCAACCTTGCCTAACACCGGTCTTTACTTCAAACGAGACAGTGAGTTGTCCTCCGTGGACGGTTTGGCAGTTTAGTCCATCATAGGAGTTCCGTATGATATTGACTATCTTCTCAGGCACGCCATAGTGTCGAAGGAGCCTCCATAGTGTCATCCTGTCCACGCTATCAAATGCCTTCTCGTAGTCGATGAAGTTGATGTAGAGCGATGAATTCCATTCAATTGATCGTTCCACAATGATACGTAGAGTTGCGATTTGATCTGTGCACGATCTATCCTTACGAAATCCAGCTTGTTGATCTCGAAGTTGGGCGTTCACGGAATCCTTCATCCTGTTCAACAATACTCGGTTGAAGACTTTTCCTGGTATTGAGAGAAGAGTGATGCCCCTGTAGTTGTCGCACTTGCTAAGATCATCTTTCTTTGGTATTTTGATTAGAAGTCCTTTTTTCCAGTCTGTTGGTACTTGTTCTTCGTCCCAAATCTTACTGAAGAGGACGTGGAGTATCTTGGCGATTGCTGCTACATTTGCTTTCAGTGCCTGTGCCGTGATGTTGTCTGGTCCCGCTCTTGATTTGTCTAATGGCCATGCTGATCTCTTCAATTGTCGTTGGGTCAACATCGATTGTGAGGTCCGTGGGTGCTGCTTCGATGTTGGGTGGGTTCAGTGGAGCTGGTCGATTCAAGAGTTCTCCGAATTGTTCTACCCACTTGTTTCGTTGTTCTTCAATGTTGGTGATAACCTTGCCTTTCTTGCTTTTCACTGGTCGTCCTGGTTTACGGTAATTTCCAGCAAGTTTCTTTGTTGTATCATACAATTGTCTCATGTTTCCCTCTCTTGCAGCCTTTTCCGCTGTCATTGCTAAATCTTCCACATATTTACGTTTGTCGGTTCTGATGCTCCTCTTCACTTGCTTGTTTACTTCTGTGTATTCGGCTTGTGCGTTGGCTTTTTCTGCTCTTGTTCGGTTGTTATTGATTACTGCCTTCTTGTTCCTTCTTTCTTCAATTTTATTTAGTGTACCAACAGTGATCCATTCCTTGTGATGGTGCTTCTTTAGGCCAAGAACCTCCTGACATGTTGAAACGATTGCCTCCTTGATAGCTTTCCAGTTGCTCTCCATGGTAGTTCCCTCTCCATTGAGTAGATCATGAAAGGCCTCGAACCTGTTGCTGAGGGCTGTGTAAAATTCGTTGAGTTTGTCAGCATCTCGAAGAGAGGCCAAATTAAACTTTTGTGATGTTGTCCGTACCGTTGTCCAGTGCTTCTTGAATTTTAGTTTCATCTTGGCGACCAGCAAATGGTGATCGGATGCTATATCAGCTCCTCTCCTGGTTCTCACATCCTCCATCGTCCTCCTGAACTTTTTGTTGATGCAGATATGGTCGATTTGATTCTGTGTAGTGTGATCCGGTGAAATCCAAGTGGCTTTGTGTATGTTTTTGTGTGGGAATATGGTGCCACCTATGACCAGTTTATTGAAGGCACATAGGTTTGCAAATCTCTCACCGTTTTCGTTCCTTCCTCCCAGTCCATGTTGTCCCATGACATCTTCGTATCCAGTGTTGTCCTTCCCAACCCTGGAATTGAAATCTCTCATCAAAATGGTCGGGTCCTTGGTTGGGCACTTCTCGAAGATCGACTGCAGCCTATCGTAGAATTGGTCTTTAGCGTCTTCATCGTAGTCATTGGTAAGCGCATAGCATTGGATGACGTTCATTGTAATGCCCTCTCTCTTTGTTTTGAAGGAGGCTTTGATGATCCTTGGTCCATGAGATTCCCATCCAATAAGTGCATTTTGTGCTTTTCTGGACAGCATCAATGCAACTCCTTGTGTATGTGGGACATTTTCTTCTTCATGACCGGAGTATAACAGAAGTTCTCCTGAAGGCAGTCGTGTTGTCCAACCTGCGTCCAATGCGTTTCACTGATTCCAAGAACCTCCAGGTTGTATTTTCTCATTTCTGCAGCAATCTGGAAGACTTCCGTCTCCCACATTGTCCGGACATTCCATGTACCTATATAAATTGTCGCTCTGGTTGTAAGAAGGTGCATCGGCTTCATGACTTCCGAATGAACTCGGCTTTCATCATGAGACGTCATAATTATTCCTTCTACTCCCAGGGCAGAGTTTGAAAGGTTTGAATGATTTTTTCTGGTTAGCGTTTTTTTAGCGAGTTGATTTTCTACGGGATGGGGTCGCTAACCCCATGCCCAACCCTCCTCCTTTACCCGGGCTTGGGACCAGCAGTAACCCCCAGAGGAGCTACAGGCGGAGTTATGAGACGAGCACCTGCAGCTTAAAGGTAAGTGAGAAAGTGCTTGTAAAGTGATATCAAGGCGGTCGGAAATTTGAACCAGGTGTCGTAAAACGGCGTATCGGGAAGGTACTTTATTGAGTCAGGAGAAGGGACGGAAAGTGTATCAGAGATATTAATCAGATTAGAAAGGATCATGGAACAGAAACAGCAGATACATAATCACCGTTCCACATGCTGGTGGATTTAACGCAGAAAAGCCCGAAAGAAGGTCCCAATCAACGACTTGAAAAACGTCAGGGTGAAAGCGTACAGCAGATAAGGCTGCTGAAAGAAAAAAATAGAGCAACAACAATGTTTCATGTAGACCCAAAAAGAAAGTCGTACGTCACAGATTTCAAAGAGGGGTGGTGTAAGGATGGCTCGGTGGCAAACTCTAGCAAGCTTCAATAAGCCCGAAAAGAGCCGAAAACATTCCATCCAATCATCACTAGGGGAACATTCTAGAATGTCGACTAGTAGCTTCCCTATTGCATGGATAAGAATGACCCCATGTGTGCCCATTGACTGTCCGAAATGACGATTGAAATTCAGTCGAAATATCATAAGTGCGTGAGGTTTTTGCACTATATTTCACACTTTGTTGCGAATAACATTCCCATTTACTAATATTCTCTCTTCTCTCTTGCGACGTTGCGAGTTAGATCGATCAAGTAGTCTATTAGTACACGGCAGACCAAGAATCAAAGCTCCGAATTTCACACAAATGTTTATAAATACCTGTACCTACTTGATGATAGACGGATTACTAGCTCCCACCCAGACTGCCCGAATTCAACTGCCGGCACGGGAGAGATCAACGCCGCCTATAACACCTCCAGAGTTACAGCCAGGTACAAGCCCGTGTAAAAGAGAAAAATTCAGCATGTAGTCAGCAAACCCATCCCGCAAAAAAGTTTACTAAAAAAAATCGCCAATCGAATTAAACTCTGAAGAAAATGAAATCAATTAATAGTATCGAAGTTTAATTGACTTGTATTTTGAATATTGTTGTAATTCACTTGACATGTTAAAAACCAGGATAGAGTGGGATGGAGAGTGCTGTTGAGCGGTCTGTACTCATGTACGAGGGGTAACAAGCTGAAGTATGTTACAAACTAAGTACAATTCGGTATTTCCTAATTTATAATTGTAGTATAAAACAAATTTAATATTGAAATCTTGCTATTTGTATTATGGAATTATTGAACACATTGATCGAGTATGCAGATTTTAATGAAAATATCGTTTGATTATAAGTGAAGTGAATAACGAAGAATTACTATACTCACGTAAATATATATTGCATATACGCACTCTTTCATGTCGTTCTCTTATTAGACCATCAAGTTGATAGAATTTGAAATGTATTGGGTCGCTATCTATTAACAAACAAAAATATATGGATACGATTTACGTATTTGATGTCGTTGGCAAGACAATATCAGCAACATTAAATTGTGGGAAAGAACAAATGAGATCGAATTGGAGGAAGAAATCCGGAAGAAGCGCTGGAAGTGGATGGAACAGACATTAAGGAAAGTAGCCAACTGAGTCATATGGAATCCTGAAGGCCAAGGGAAAAGGGGAAGACTAACGAGCACATTACGTCGAGAAATAGAGACAGATATGAGAAGATTGAAAAACAACTGGATAGAAGTAGAAAGGAAGTCTCATGACAGAATGAGTTTGTGAATGCTGGTCGGCGGCTCTATGTTCCATTGGGAGTAGCAAGCTTAAATAAAAATAAGTAAGTATGTAAGTCAGTATTAGTATGTGTATGCATGATAAACACAAATATATTCATTTACAAAATCTACCATGTATATTGTTAGAAACGGGCAATCGACATTTTTCATTTGTGTATTTATCCACCAATTCTATATAAATGTGATAAGGAGAATTCAAATGTTACAGAAAATGTATTAAAATTATGTGGAATTATAATATTCGTTTGAAGAGTTGTTCAATCTATAAACAATGAGTAAACCATCGTCATCCTCACAATCATTTGAAAAATGATTTCCATGGTGAGCTAGCTTCAATCGACTCATGATTTCAACTACCAGAACAGAAATAACGTAGAAGATATTGGGTGAACAGTCTGGATGTATCCCTCTCGTATACATCCATCACGTTGCATACAACTCAAATAAGTCACATCAGTCACTTCTACCTACCATCACCATCACGTGGAATTCCACAGTCTGATCACACGTACAATTCACAAGATGAACAATGGCAACAAGATAAACAACACATGATACTTGAATAAATCAATGGAAACTTGTGTGCCAACAAATCGTCAGTATGTATTCGCACTCACTTTCATAAACCGACTGTTCTTCACTGAAACACTTCTTCATTATATGAGAATTTCTGACAGTTGTTTCTACAATTCAATAGTCAAATATGAAGGTATACATTCGGTAAGATTACAGAATCACAAATATGCAGCAAAGAGAGTTCTTCATCATAGACATTGTTTCAGCTATCCAACACGACTAATACACTGGAGGAAATCAGACTTACCATGTATTTTTTCTTGTATTTCTATTTCTCTGATAAACTCTAAACATTGCAGAATAGGTGAGTTTATAGTTGCAATGAAACACACTGACAAATAAAATTTGAGTGATTGTTATATGTAGGGCTTTGATTCTTGCTATGCCATGTACTAATATACTACTTGAACGATGGAACGCGCAACGTCGCAAGAGAGAAGACAGAAGACTAGTAAGAATGAATGTAATTCCCAACACATTGTCCAATATATAGTACAAAAATTTCATGTATTTATAGTTGTTTGACTGAAATTAAATCATCATTTCGGACAGCCGATAGGCACATGTGTGGTCCTTCTTACTCATTCAATAAGGAAGCTACACGTCGACATTCTAGAATGCTCATCTAGCGGTGATTAGATGGACCAGGGTTTCGTGCTACTTGGCACTCGTCAGCAAGGTGTACCTGTAATCATATTTCACTATTCTATCATTTATTTATTTGCTTATTTCTTCCGAAATATTTTATTCGTATGTTCATTGAAACACCTTGATTGATGTGAGAATTTCCGGACAACCATCAAAATACAATAATTTTGAGATGTTCATTGCGATACTTCGTATCAGGTAATGTCGGTATTTATGTTCGTATAAAACCAACAGTTTAACATGTGTCTATTGAACATACTCTCTTTCTCTCTCTGTGTGGGTGTATATTCCATCACCTCATTTGCATACATAGTTGACGTTAGTTGATCGAATATTGAACGTGTTCATTGTGAAATACTCAAATACTGTCGAAATCCATACACACTGTTGATATGTTTCATGTTAAATACTATGGAATTGAGTGAAACTACAAATCATATGTCTATATGATGTACACTTCAATTCTTCATACCTATTCGAAACAATCGAATTCATCAATGTCGAACTGGAATACATTAGATAGACACTAACCTCCCATGAGAATCCTTTGTTCAACAGATTGATATAGTTTACTTCTACACACGACATCTACAATAATAAGATAAATTTGTTTTGATTCATTTATATTACAACATACATTGATCAATTGTTTGATTTTCACTTGACAATCGCATATTGATTTGATCTGAAAAAAAGAACGATAATAATGGATTGGATCCTTTTAGTCAACCGATAATACAATCTGTTATGTCTTTATAAAAGAAAGAAGGCCGTATACCAGTTTCTTATGTCCGGCTTTTTGTCACGTGAATTATCCGTCAATCGAAATACGACTTGTCTAGTCTTAACATTGTGCCAAATCAATGACGTTCAACTGGTATGAGCAATCTAGCATCCTTATTGGTTCCTTGTCCACCTAGCGCTTCCAATTGAGTCCAAAAACACCAATAGTAGCTTCTGCTATGAGAATAATTTATTTCGAGCATACTCAGTTCATATACCATAGGTGAAAATGAAGCTTATAATAAGATGAATATGACAGGTGGCGTGCCTAAACCTCTGGGGTACTTGTTCCTGTCATTTATATATTTCAACATTTTATCTAATTTTGTTTGTTTTAATACATCATTATAGCTATTATTCACACAACTTATTCAGGTGAGTATCTGAAAAGTGTACAACCTTTCGCTGTAAAGGTTACAAAAGACCTAATCAGAGATATAATGTTTGTTGGCAATATGCAGCGGAAAGATTGTACATTAATCAGATATCTTCAGGATTGATGAAGAAGTGAGAGGTAGAAACTTGTCGAAATACTTTATGCTGAGAATTCTATATTGTACTAAAAATGTAATAATGAATGAAGCTAATAATAATCATTCATAACTCAATTGACTCATGATTTCAACTATGAAAATACTGAAATCTTCACAAAACGCCTTCTCGTAATAATAGTAATAATAGATCCTGAAATTTACCTGTACTTATATCTTCACTAGGATATATTACATTCTTTTACTTCTTAATTAGGTACATCATTTAGCTATATAGACAAGTAACATGTCTATACTGGACATCTCTACTTCTATTTCCTTAAATCAACTTACTTCTCAAATCTTGTAGATTCTTTTCATTACTTCTGAACTTTTTAATTAGTCTATTCAAGTCTTCTATAAATTAGATAATTAATGAAATAAGAACAACAATAAATATAGATCAAAGTGTCATTCATCAGTGTATGAAGTCACTAACTTCTAGTCTGAGCCATGTTGGTAGATGCAGACTACTTGGTTGGGGTCTGCGTGACTATCGTAACCAATGGTTGGAGACTCTTGGTGACATGGCTCAAAATCAATCACAATGGCGTAGGTGTATACACTCTTTATCTTCCCTTAAACCTTGAGAATAAAATTGCTTCATAACATTCTTCCTTCCTATACTATATCCTTATATACAACTTATCTTTTATATACTACCACCAATAAATTAACTACTTCTATGAATCCGGTGTTCATCTTGTTGTGCTAAAGAGGTATGGCAACTTAGACCGATGCATATATGTGCCTGGTCCTACGTTGTAACTGACTGACTGACTGACATCAGAAAGTAAAGTATTTGCAAACTTCTGACAGATACTATCCATCCTTATATATCTTCTGGTAGAACAAGACGTAAATACATTATAATCCATGGATACAAGTAAAAACATAAAGGTTCTGCAGTATCCTACCTAAGAAATATACTCTATGATGAACAGGTTGTTAAAGCTGACTTAGTCAATAACCTTTATTCTTAAAACATGTCTTCAATTCGAAAAGTTGTGCAGATTCGGATCTTTTTCTTTACCTATTTACTTTGTTTTCTTCTGTTTGTTTATGTAAAAGAAAATGCTGTTGTAATATCTCGAGCTGAAATGCCCATATTGTGCTAGCAAGACTCTCCGATGCAACATCACACGCATCGATTGAGTCACTTTTGATAGAAAAGCTTTGGAGGATTTGGAAATCTTTACATATCTGAGAAGCATCACTGGTGATTATGATAGATTTGATTCAGATAGATATGGAGGCGCGGATCGACAAAACAAGAGAAGCATATCTACAACTGAATAACATCTGGAATTCAAAACAATTGTCAAACAACACCAAAGTGAGAATTTTCAATACAAATGTCAAGACAGTTCTATTGTATGGGACGGAGATGTGGTAGACTACGAAATTCATCATTCAGAAGATACAAGTGTTTATTAGCGGTTGTCAACGCAAATTACTTCGGATTCATTGGCCAGAGATTATCAGTAACAATATACTGTGAGTGAGTACAAGTGAGATTGCAGCGGAGGAAGAAATCAAGAAGTGCTGGAAGTATATAGAACACACATTGAGGAAATCACTCAACTATGTCACAAGGCATGCCCTCACTTGGAATCCTTAAGGCCAGAGGAAAAGAGGAGGACCGATGAACATATTACGTTAAGAAATGGAGACAGGCATGAGAAGAGTGAACAAAAATTGGTTAGAAGTAGGAAGCAAGTCTCATGATAGAGTGAGTTAGAGAATGCTGGTTGGCTGCCAATCCTCCATTGAAGATAACAGGCCAAAGTAATGCAGTAAGTAAAGCAAATTTTTATGAATAAATTAGATAAACATGATTTGCTTAACTTACGCTTACAATAATTTACTGCCGTTTCTACATTAGATTTTCTCTGTTCTAAACGTGCTGAAAATGTAATACACATTAATGGAGTGTAAAATTTTTTATTGTGTATTTAGATGATGATTTCTGACATTTTCATTGTTGAAAGCTAGACCACCAAGGAAAACCTGTGAGCACTGCTTGACAGCTGTTTCGTTCTATTGTAGAACTCCTCAGCAGTGCGCATCCACGAACCCACCACACAAGATCCGAACTCAGGGCTGTGGAGTCCCACAATAGGACGAAATGGTGGTCCAGTGCTTCCAGGTTTTCAACGTGGTCGAGCTTCGATTGACTCATGATCCTAAGTATATGTAAGGAGAAAGTATAAAAGGATCGACTACCAGAACCGAGTTTAAGTTTATATCATAACTCCGCCTTTAGCCCCTCCAGGGGATACTGCCGGTTCGAAGTCCGGGCAAAGGAGGAGGATTGGGCATGAGATTGGCGACCACACCCCGTAGAAAACCAACTCGCTATGAAAACTCTAACCAGAAAAAAACGACACAAACAATTTAAACTCTGTCCTGGTAGTTGAAGGAAGAATTATGACGCCTCATGATGAAAGAAGAGTTCCTTCGGAAGTCACGAGGCCGATGCATATTCTAATAACCAGAGTGACAGTTTTTATGGGTTCATGGAACTTCCGGACAATGTGGGAGACCGGAAGAGTCTTACAACTCGCTGCAGAAATGAGAAAATACAACCTGGATGCACTTGGAAACAGTGAAACACATTTACGCAGGTTGGAGTACAACGACGCTCTTCAGGGGAACTTCTGTTATACTCCGTCCACGAAGAAGTAATTGCCTCGCATACACAAGGAGTTGCACCGAAACTGTCCAAACAAGCAGTAAATGCCCTTATAGGATGGTAATCTCATTGACCAAGGATCACCAAAGCCTTCTTTAAAACAAAGAAAGATGGCATTACATTGAATGTCATCCAATGTTATGCGCCTACCAACAACTACGACGAAGACGTGTAATATCAATTCTACGATAGGCTACAGTCGATCGCCGAGGAGTGCCCAAGAAAGGACCTGACTATTTTAATGAGAGACCTAAATGCCAATTTTGGAATGGACAACATCGGATACGAAAACGTCATGGACTGGGATAAAGGAACGAAAATGGTCAGGTTATATGCATTCCGTAAACTGGTCACAGGCGACACTATATTCACACATGAACGCATTCACGAAAGCACATGGACTTCACCGGATCACATTACACAGAACCAAATTAACCATATTTGCATCATTATAAAGTTTAGCAGAACGATGGATGATATGAGAACTAAGCGAGATGGTGATTATCATTTGCTGGTAGCCAAAAAGCACTGGACAACGGAGCGGACAATACCACAAAAGCTTATTACGACTTTTCTTCGAGAGACTGACAAACTCAACAAATTCAACATAGCCGTCAGCAATAAATTCCAGGCCTTTGATGGTCTACTCAATGGAGAGGTAAATACTATGGAGAACAAACTGGAAAGGGGTAAAGGAGATAATCACTTCAACATATCAGGATGTTCAGGGCCACAAGAAGCACCATCACAAGGAATGGATCACTGTTGGTACACTGGATAAGATTGAAGAAAGGAGGAACAAGAAGGCAGTAATCAATAACAACCGAACAAGAGCAGAAAAAGCCAACGCACAAGCCGAATACACAGAAGTAAACAAGCAAGTGAAGAGGAGCATCAGAACCGACAAACGTAAATATGTGGAAGATTTAGCAATGACAGCGGAAAAGGCTGCAAGAGAGGGAAACATGAGACAATTGTATGATACAACAAAGAAACTTGCTGGAAATTACCGTAAACCAGGACGACCAGTGAAAAGCAAGAAAGGCAAGGTTATCACCAACATTGAAGAACAACGAAACAAGTGGGTAGAACAATTCGGAGAACTCTTGAATCGACCAGCTCCACTGAACCCACCCAACATCGAAGCAGCACCCACGGACCTCCCAATCGATGTTGACCCAACGACAATTGAAGAGATCAGTATGGTCATCAGACAAACCAACAACGGCAAAACAGCAGAGCCAGACAACATTCAAGTAAAGGCATTGTAAGCAGTTGTAGCAGCAAATGCAAAGATACTCCACATTCTCTTCACCAAGATTTGGGATGAAGATTAAGTACCAACAGACTGGAAAGAAAAACTTCTGATCAAGATTACAAAGAAAGGTGATCTCAGCAAATGTGATAACTACAGGGGTATCAATATGCCCTCAATAACAGGAAACGTCTTTAATGGAGTATTGTTTAACAGAATGAAGGACTCCGTTGATGCCCAAATTCGAGATCAACAGGCTGTATTTCGTATGACTCGACCGTGTACAGACCAAATTGCAACTCTACGGATCATTGTGGAACAATCAATTGAATGGTATTCATCACTCTACATCAACTTCATTGACTACGAGAAGGCATTTGATAGCGTGGACAGGACAACACTATGGAGGCTTCTTCGACACTATGGCGTACCTGAGAATATAGTCAATATCATGCCAAATTATTATGGTGGATTAAACTGCCAAATAGTGCATGGAGGATAACTCACAGACTCATTTGAGATAAAGATCGATGTTAGGAAATGTTGCTTACTCTCACCCTTTCTTTTTCTCCTGATGATCGACTGGATCATGAAGACGTCAACATCTGGAGAGAACATGGGATACCATAGACAGCTAGTATGCAGCTGGACGATTTAGAATTCGCAGATGACCTGGCTATTCTATCACACACGCAACAACAAATGCAGAAAACGACCGGTGTATCAGCAGCCTCAGCAACCACAGGTTTCAATGTAAACAAAGGGAAAAGCAATACTCGTCGATACAATAAAACATGCATCGATCGAGTCACTTTTGATAGAGAAGCTTTGGAGGATTTAGAAACCTTTACATATCTGGGAAGCATCATTGATGATTATGGTAGATCTGATTCAGATAGATGTGAAGGCGCGGATAGACAAAACAGGAGAAGCACATCTGCAAATGAAGAACATCTGGAATTCAAAACAATTGTCAAACAACACCAAAGTGAGAATTTTCAATACAAATGTCAAGACAGTTCTACTGTGTGGAGTGGAAATCCGTAGAACTACTTAAGTCATCATCCAGAAGATACAAGTGTTTATTCACCGCTGTCTACTCAAAATACTTCGGATCTGTTGGCCAGACATTATCAGCAACAATATACTGTGAGTGAGTACAAGTGAGATTTCAGTGGAGAAAGAAATCACGAAGAAACGCTGGAAGTGTATAGGATACACATTGAGAAAATCACACAACTGTCACAAGGAAAGCCTTCACATGGAATCGTGATGGCCAAAGGAAAAGAGGTAGACTAACGAACACATTACGTCGATAAATGGAAACAGACATGAGAAGAATGAACAATAATTGGTTAGACGTGGAAAGGAAGTCCCTTGACAGAGTGGGTTGACCGGTGGCCTATGCCTCACTGGGAGTAATAGTCGTAAGTATGGAGGTAAGTACTGAATCAGTTGAAAGAACTAGGAATAAATAAAAAAGAAAACTGAAGAAAAATAATAAAACGAGGTAATCAACTAACGTCTTTTTAACTGATTATCAATTTGTTGATGAATATTTTGCAATACATTGTGTGAAACTAAAATGCAAGAAAACAAGGATAAAAGATTGTAAACAAATATGGATAGTGGTTAGCAGTGGAATCCAGGACGCGCGCCACTTTTTCCTATTTGAGACTCGTCAGCAGCATGTACCTATATCTTAGATCTGATATTCACACTGGGACTCGAACCCAGTGACACTCGCTTCAAATGCCTTCGTGTTATCCACCTATTTACAGATTTTTGATAGCCACTTGCTTTTGCGATTGGGTGAAGTTTAAACTCATTTGGTATTATTTGTTTGAAGGTTTCCATTGATGTTCAGGACTGCAATTGATCAGCCTCTTATTGGCATATGTGCATACTGTGTATATTGCAGACACATGCAGCTGACAAGTAGCAAATAGGACGAAGTGGTGAACGTTCTAGACTCCACAAATAGCCCTATTCGCCTTTTCTTACAATGCTTGTGAATTAATGCGATATAAAAGGCATCACGCAGAGTATGCATATATTCCAATAAGAGACTGATCAGTTGCAGTCCTAAACATCAATGGGAAGATTCAAACAAACAACACCAAGGGACTTTAAACTTCAACCAATTGCAAAGGCTAGTAGATGATGAAAATTGATGAAAATCTTATAAAGAGTTGATCTATGAGCTGAGTGGTAACATGATGTTTAAGAAAGATAATTCACATTCGCAGCGTTCGTTGCTCTAATCAGCAACTATATCAACATTTGTTTCCTTTTGAAGTGAACTTGTCGAATATTACAGGAACAATGAGAAGTATTCGTACATTATTTTGAATATCTTACTTACTTACTTACGCCTGTTACCTCTTGTGGGGAAACATAGGCCGCACATCAGTAATCTTCATCCAACCCTGTCCTGGGCGATCCTTTCCAGTTGTTATTCATCCTTTTCATATCTGCTTCTGCTGATAGCATCTGGCCAGTGAATGTTGATTATTTAAAGTAGACAAATGTTTCTAAATACCTGTACCTTCTTGATGAAAGATGGATTCCTGGCTCACACCCGGGCGGAAAGTTAAACTCGCCTATAGCTCTTTTAGAGTTATCGCCAGTCCCAAGTCCGGGTAAAGGATGAGGGTTGGACATGGGGAAGTGTATACTCCTTCACGAGGGGGGTATCAAGCGTTAGTATGTTGCAAACTAAGTACAATTCGGTATTTCCTAATTTATAATTGTAGTATAAAACAAATTTAATATTGAAATCTTGCTATTTGTATTATGGAATTATTGAACACATTGATCGAGTATGCAGATTTTAATGAAAATATCGTTTGATTATAAGTGAAGTGAATAACGAAGAATTACTATACTCACGTAAATATATATTGCATATACGCACTCTTTCATGTCGTTCTCTTATTAGACCATCAAGTTGATAGAATTTGAAATGTATTGGGTCGCTATCTATTAACAAACAAAAATATATGGATACGATTTACGTATTTGATGTCGTTGGCAAGACAATATCAGCAACATTAAATTGTGGGAAAGAACAAATGAGATCGAATTGGAGGAAGAAATCCGGAAGAAGCGCTGGAAGTGGATGGAACAGACATTAAGGAAAGTAGCCAACTGAGTCATATGGAATCCTGAAGGCCAAGGGAAAAGGGGAAGACTAACGAGCACATTACGTCGAGAAATAGAGACAGATATGAGAAGATTGAAAAACAACTGGATAGAAGTAGAAAGGAAGTCTCATGACAGAATGAGTTTGTGAATGCTGGTCGGCGGCTCTATGTTCCATTGGGAGTAGCAAGCTTAAATAAAAATAAGTAAGTATGTAAGTCAGTATTAGTATGTGTATGCATGATAAACACAAATATATTCATTTACAAAATCTACCATGTATATTGTTAGAAACGGGCAATCGACATTTTTCATTTGTGTATTTATCCACCAATTCTATATAAATGTGATAAGGAGAATTCAAATGTTACAGAAAATGTATTAAAATTATGTGGAATTATAATATTCGTTTGAAGAGTTGTTCAATCTATAAACAATGAGTAAACCATCGTCATCCTCACAATCATTTGAAAAATGATTTCCATGGTGAGCTAGCTTCAATCGACTCATGATTTCAACTACCAGAACAGAAATAACGTAGAAGATATTGGGTGAACAGTCTGGATGTATCCCTCTCGTATACATCCATCACGTTGCATACAACTCAAATAAGTCACATCAGTCACTTCTACCTACCATCACCATCACGTGGAATTCCACAGTCTGATCACACGTACAATTCACAAGATGAACAATGGCAACAAGATAAACAACACATGATACTTGAATAAATCAATGGAAACTTGTGTGCCAACAAATCGTCAGTATGTATTCGCACTCACTTTCATAAACCGACTGTTCTTCACTGAAACACTTCTTCATTATATGAGAATTTCTGACAGTTGTTTCTACAATTCAATAGTCAAATATGAAGGTATACATTCGGTAAGATTACAGAATCACAAATATGCAGCAAAGAGAGTTCTTCATCATAGACATTGTTTCAGCTATCCAACACGACTAATACACTGGAGGAAATCAGACTTACCATGTATTTTTTCTTGTATTTCTATTTCTCTGATAAACTCTAAACATTGCAGAATAGGTGAGTTTATAGTTGCAATGAAACACACTGACAAATAAAATTTGAGTGATTGTTATATGTAGGGCTTTGATTCTTGCTATGCCATGTACTAATATACTACTTGAACGATGGAACGCGCAACGTCGCAAGAGAGAAGACAGAAGACTAGTAAGAATGAATGTAATTCCCAACACATTGTCCAATATATAGTACAAAAATTTCATGTATTTATAGTTGTTTGACTGAAATTAAATCATCATTTCGGACAGCCGATAGGCACATGTGTGGTCCTTCTTACTCATTCAATAAGGAAGCTACACGTCGACATTCTAGAATGCTCATCTAGCGGTGATTAGATGGACCAGGGTTTCGTGCTACTTGGCACTCGTCAGCAAGGTGTACCTGTAATCATATTTCACTATTCTATCATTTATTTATTTGCTTATTTCTTCCGAAATATTTTATTCGTATGTTCATTGAAACACCTTGATTGATGTGAGAATTTCCGGACAACCATCAAAATACAATAATTTTGAGATGTTCATTGCGATACTTCGTATCAGGTAATGTCGGTATTTATGTTCGTATAAAACCAACAGTTTAACATGTGTCTATTGAACATACTCTCTTTCTCTCTCTGTGTGGGTGTATATTCCATCACCTCATTTGCATACATAGTTGACGTTAGTTGATCGAATATTGAACGTGTTCATTGTGAAATACTCAAATACTGTCGAAATCCATACACACTGTTGATATGTTTCATGTTAAATACTATGGAATTGAGTGAAACTACAAATCATATGTCTATATGATGTACACTTCAATTCTTCATACCTATTCGAAACAATCGAATTCATCAATGTCGAACTGGAATACATTAGATAGACACTAACCTCCCATGAGAATCCTTTGTTCAACAGATTGATATAGTTTACTTCTACACACGACATCTACAATAATAAGATAAATTTGTTTTGATTCATTTATATTACAACATACATTGATCAATTGTTTGATTTTCACTTGACAATCGCATATTGATTTGATCTGAAAAAAAGAACGATAATAATGGATTGGATCCTTTTAGTCAACCGATAATACAATCTGTTATGTCTTTATAAAAGAAAGAAGGCCGTATACCAGTTTCTTATGTCCGGCTTTTTGTCACGTGAATTATCCGTCAATCGAAATACGACTTGTCTAGTCTTAACATTGTGCCAAATCAATGACGTTCAACTGGTATGAGCAATCTAGCATCCTTATTGGTTCCTTGTCCACCTAGCGCTTCCAATTGAGTCCAAAAACACCAATAGTAGCTTCTGCTATGAGAATAATTTATTTCGAGCATACTCAGTTCATATACCATAGGTGAAAATGAAGCTTATAATAAGATGAATATGACAGGTGGCGTGCCTAAACCTCTGGGGTACTTGTTCCTGTCATTTATATATTTCAACATTTTATCTAATTTTGTTTGTTTTAATACATCATTATAGCTATTATTCACACAACTTATTCAGGTGAGTATCTGAAAAGTGTACAACCTTTCGCTGTAAAGGTTACAAAAGACCTAATCAGAGATATAATGTTTGTTGGCAATATGCAGCGGAAAGATTGTACATTAATCAGATATCGTCAGGGTCGATGAAGAAGTAAGAAGCAGAAACTTGTCAAAATACTTTATGCTGAGAATTCTATATTGTACCAAATTATAATAATGAATGAAGCTAATAATGATAATAATTCATAATATAGATATACATCATATAATGACTCAATAGTTAAACTATAAGAATATATAACGAATAATAGTTCTGATACGTGACTGGTAGGTCCTTGGTTCGAATCTCGTGAGACGAGATAGTTTGATAACTAGGAACCAGTAACAACTTCTATATTCGAAGCTTTCTCAACCAATCGAAATCAGAAGTCAGATGAGAAGGGGTACGAAAGATATATTTGATACGTTACCAATATATCGCGAAGCGTTTATTCTAAGTTGGTTAGTGAACGTAGTAGCAGTGTCCCACACTGAAGTCGTCGACGTTATTGTTTGCGGATGATGTTAAAATCTGGAGAACAATAAGAAATGAGATTGATCGTTGTTATCTACAAGCAGATTTAGACGAATTAGTTAGGTGGGCTCATGATTGGGGCCTGGAAGTTAATTTCAGGAAGAGCGTGTTCATGCACATCGGGCACGATATTAGTTACCACTATACCATTAATGGTACATCTCTGCCACGCGTTCATACGCATAAAGACTTAGGAGTAATTATAAGTCACGACTTAAAAACTACTACGCACTGCAGTGCGGTTGCTTCCAAAGGCTATCGCGCGCTATGGTCGCTTCGCAGAGCATTTAAATGCTTTGACGAGGATATGTTTCGAATTTTATATCCCACCTATGTAAGGCCACACTTAGAATACTGTATCCAAGCAGCTAGCCCTTGTCTGATAAAGGATACTAAATCGCTTGAGCGTGTCCAGCGTGTAGGGACAAAATTAGTAAAGGGTCTCTCTAAACTCCCTTACGATGAGCGTTTAAAACGTCTAAATCTTTTCCCCTTATCTTATCGTAGGACGCGAGGTGACCTTATACTGGCATTTCGTATCTTTAATTATGATCTGGGTGTTAATATGTCTTACCTTTTTGCTCCCTCCAGCACTAATAATCTCCGGGGTCATAGCAAGAAGGTTCTGAAACCGCGATCTAATAAACTAAAGGTGGGGTCCCGTTTTTCTCATCGAGTGGTCAATGACTGGAACGCTTTACCAGAACAAGTGGTATCAGCACCATCAGTGAACATTTTCAAAAAGAAGCTGGACCTTCACTGGAAGGAAATCTGTCAGGATTAACACAGGTTCATCAACCTACTATCCTTATTACTGAAGACTGAAGACTGAAGACTGAAACGTGATCTGGTACGGATGCATAACCGAAAGCCTTCAGTTAAACAAGTCCACTTAAACAATGTGGTCAGCATTCAATGTCGAATACTTAGGAAGCTATTGATTTTGGGGAATTATTTACAGCTACAGGGTTTTGTGGAGATTTCAGTATTTTCGCCTTCAGACCTTAGGTTTGCTGCTTGTAGTCTTACGGCTCTTCAACCGATCCGTCTGGCATGTTGGGACCTTGAGGAACGATTATCATAGCCAGTATAGGTCGATTGGTTCATTACGACAGGCAAGCCCGACCATCATGTCAAGGTAGCAGCAACGATTTCAACTATGAAAATACTGAAATCTCCACAAAACCCTGTAGCTGTAAATAATTCCCCAAAATCAATAGCTTCCTAAGTATTCGACATTGAATGCTGACCACATTGTTTAAGTGGACTTGTTTAACTGAAGGCTTTCGGTAATGCATCCGTTCCAGATCACGTTTCGACTCAGCGTAGAACACAGCTCCTACGTTCATTAGCCAGATTAAAGCAAACGTTTCTCGATATATTGATGACGTATCAAATGTATCTTTCCGATCTCTTCTTATCTGACTTCTGATTTCGATTGGTTGGGAAAGCTTCGAATATAGAAGTTGTTACTGGTTCCTAGTTATCAAACTAAAAAACTAGTCGTATCTTCAACTCCTTCTGATAATAATAGTCTATTCATAGATCCTGGAAGTTACCTGTACTTATATCTTCACTAGGATATAATACAATCTTTTACTTCTTAATAAGGTACGTCATTCAACTATGTTGAATGTTACTTGTCTATACTGGACATTTCTACTTTTATTTCCTTAAATTAACTTACTTCTCAAATCTTGTAGATTCTTTTCATTACTTCTGAAACTTTTAATTAGTCTATTCAAGTCTTCTATAAATTAGATAATTAATGAAATAAGAACAACAATAAATATAGATCAAAGTGTCATTCATCAGTGTATGAAGTCACTAACTTCTAGTCTGAGCCATGTTGGTAGATGCAGACTACCTGGTTGGGGTCTGCGTGACTATCGTAACCAATGGTTGGAGACTCTTGGTGACATGGCTCAGAATCGATCACAATGGCGTAGGTGTATAAACTCTTTATCTTCCCTTAAACCTTGAGATTAAAATTGCTTCATACCTTTTCTCCTTTCTATACTATATCCTTATATACAATCTTTCTTTATATACTACCACCAATAAATTAACTACTTCTATGAATTCGGTGTTCATCTTGTTGTGCTTACGAGGTATGGCAACTTAGACCGATGCATATATGTGTCTGGTCCTACATTGTAACTAACTGACTGACTGACATCATAAAGTAAAGTATTTGCAAACTTCTGACAGATACTATCCATCCTTATATATCTTCTGGTAGAACAATACGTAAATACATTATAATCCATGATGAACAGGTTGTTAAGGCTGACTTAGTCAATAACCTTTATTCCAAAAATATGTCTCCGATTTAAAAAGTTGTCCAGTTTTCGATCTTTTTTCCCCTATTTACTTTGTTTTCTTTTGTTTGTTTATGTAAGAGAAATGTTGTTGTAATATCTCGTGCTGAAAATCCCATATTGTGCTAGTGAGACTCTCCAATGCAACATCACATGCATCTATCGAGTCACACTTGACGGAGAATCTTTGGTGGATGTGGAAATTTTTACATATCTGGGCAGCATCATCGATGAACGCGGTGGATCTGATGCAGATGTGAGGGCGAGGATCAGCAAAGCAAGAGTAGCATATTTACAACAAAATAACACCTGGAATTCAAAACAATTGTCAAACAACGCCAAAGTGAGAATTTTCAATACACATATCAAGACAGTTCTACTGTATGGGACGGAGATGTGGTGAACTACGAAGTTTATCATTCAGAAGATACAAGTGTTTATTAGCGGTTGTCAACGCAAATTACTTCGGATTCATTGGCCAGAGATTATCAGTAACAATATACTGTGAGTGAGTACAAGTGAGATTGCAGCGGAGGAAGAAATCAAGAAGTGCTGGAAGTATATAGAACACATATTGAGGAAATCACTCAACTGTGTCACAAGGCATGCCCTCACTTGGAATCCTTAAGGCCAAAGGAAAAGAGGAGGACCGATGAACATATTACGTTAAGAAATGGAGACAGGCATGAGAAGAGTGAACAAAAATTGGATAGAAGTAGGAATCAAGTCCCATGACAGAGTGAGTTAGAAAATGCTGGTTGGCTGCCAATCCTCCATTGGGGTAATGCAAATTTTAATGAACAAGATAGATAAACATGATATACTCAACTTACGTTTACAATAATTTATTGCCGTTTCTACATTAGATTTTCTCTGTTCTAAATTATCTGAAAATATAATGAACATTAGTGTAGTGTAAAATTTTCGATTATATATGTAAATGATGATTCCTAAAATGCTCATAGTTGAAATCATGAGTCAATTGAAGCTAGACAACCATGGAAAACCTGGAAGCACTGCTTGACGGCCATTTCGTCCTATTGTGGAACTCCTCAGAAGTGCGAATCCACGATCCCACCTCGCGAGATTCGAACTCAGGGCTGAGGAGCCCAACAACAGAACGAAACGGCCGTCCAGTGCTTCCATGTTTTCCATGGTGATCCAGCTTCAATTGACTCATGATCTCAACTATATACAAAGATAAAGTATAAAAGGATCGACATCCAGAACTGAGTTTAAGTTTATATCATAACTCCGCCTGTAGCTCCTCTGGGGATAATACCCGTCTCAAGCCCAGGTAAAGGAGGAGGGTTGGGCGTGCGGTTAACGACTCCATTCCGTAGAAAACCAACTCACTAAAAGACACTAACCAGAAAAAAAAACAGCTCAAACCATTTAAACTCTGCCCTGGGAGTTGAGGGAAGAATTGTGACGCCTCATCTCATCTGCTGTACAATTTTGTTCAGTTAGCTCCAGTTCCAGTGATATTGACTCATGAATTGTTTACAAAGATAAGAAATGAAAAGAACGTTGTGTAATGATGCGATGAATTATGAACAATCTTTTGTTAAGGGTAGTTGATCAATGAACAGACCATAAGAACAGAGTAGATAACAGTTATATTCATGGAAAATTATTGATCGTGAAAAATTATTGTTAAGATATAAAAAGGAAAAATGAGAGATTATAAAAGATGGAAAAGAATGTTAAGACCATGGTAAGTGTCACATGGGGGTTTTGTGGAGATTTTAGTAATTTTATATAGTTAAGACCATTAGTCAACTGAAGCTAGACCACTAAGGAAAACATGGAATCACTGGATGGCCGCTTCGTCCTATGGTTTGACTCCTCAGCAGTGCTCTTCCACGATCCCACCTCGCGAGACTCGAATCAAGGATCTACCAGTCTCGCTCCAGACCACTTAACCGATAAACCAATGAGCTGGCCGGCATTCAACGTTGTTAATGTCTAACCTCAACCAATCCACAAAATTGCACGACCAATTTCCATTGTATTGAGGTAGATACTTGTCTCTACCTGACGTGGATGAGCTCCACTGGCCACGACTTCTCACTAGAACTCCAGGAATCACCTCATGAAGCCCACAATAGGACGAAACGGCCGTCCAGTGCTTTCGGGTTTTCCATAGTAGTCTAGCTTCAATTGACTCATAATCTTAACCGTGGTAAGTGTTAAAGTGAACATAGTGTTTTGTATACGAAGGTTAGTCTTGAATTGCTTAGAAACTATAGGCTCTTCTTTACATCAGTTCTCATTAATATTCATTTTGAACCGATCTCACTCACTATTGTGAACGATTTAGAAGGAGAGTTCTTGAGCATTATGACTTGTTACAACAACAATTATTTTCCATTATTCAACACTATTGTCTACCATTACATAGTATTGATTTAGGGGTGAATTGATTTAATACAAGTACGGTTTTACATCTTACACAAATGGAATCGTCGTGAAGAAAATTATTTTCTTTTTAGCATACTAGACCTCTTTTTCGTCTATGAATGATAGTTTTAGAGCTTATGCTTAATCATTAATTTTTAGTGTTTTTACATGAAACGTATTAGGCAATCTGTTATGCTTGTTGCTACACGATTATCATGAAATATCATCGCCGACTCAGATACACCGACCTAAACGATCGAGTTAATGACAAATACACCAGTATGGGTAGCCTAGAGTATTGATTTGTTCTTTCTTTTTTAATAGCTCAGTTATGCCTGTTAAGTTCAGAATGCCAATTTTAGTATCCGAGATACGAATCATATAATTTCAGACATACTAAACTTTGGCGGCCTCTTTAAACCTATGGGCTACCTGTTCCTATCTTCTAGATATTTCAACAAGTTATCTAATTTCGTTTGTTTTAATACATCATTATGCCTATTGAACGCACAACCTATTCAGGTGCGTTTCTGAAAAGTGTAAGACCTTTCGCTGCAAAGGTTACAGAAGGCCTAACCAGAGATATCGTTGTTGCAATATGCAGCGAGAAGAATGTACATTATCCAGATCTCCATTGACTTGGCTGCTAACTTCTAACTGGCGATCACTCAATATTTATCCTTAGGAAGCATGAAGAAGTAATAAAAACGGAAACTTGTTGAAGTACTTAATGCTGAGAATTCTATATTGTACCAAAAATATAATATTGAATAAAGCTAATAATAATAATTAATTAATTAATTATATTACAAACAAATCAGACCACATCACGGCCGTAAAATAGAAAAATAACATTTGTACAAGATCAAGCCTCAAAAATGGATGTAACTGTAAGATACTGTGACTAATAGTAGTAGTAGTAGTATTAGTAGTATAAGGAATGCCTATAATCACATGAATATAAACAACACAATGTATATCTCGATATACTGTTGTAAGTACAGGTGAGATTCATGAGTAGAATGATAAAGTAGTGGTTGGAGTTAGTGAACAGGGAATTCTGGAACTAGGTATCATGCTACTTGGCACGCGTCAGCAAAGTGTACCTGTGATCTTGAGGGAACTAAGGCTCCCTGATGAATTTGATCCTGTGTTACTCAGCATTACAGTCAAAGATGTCAAGTCACCTAGACTAGTGGTCATATTGCATCTTAGTCGATAGGATTCCATTTGTACTCAGAAGGATATGACACACATGATAGTAATCACCACTTAGTGATCAATCCTAGTTGTAAATAGAATAACAATCACGTATTAACTAAAACTAAATTTAGTAAGTGAAGTGAGAAGAATTCAGTAAGAAATAATGAGAGAAATCAAATGTAATATCTATTTAGTTGATGGTTTAATGTTTAACGATGGATTATAATTTTGATGTTTCTTTATTGGTACTATTGATAAATGAGCATTGAAACGACAATACAAAACACAAATTTTGTAATTTTAATAGTTGAGATCATGAATCCATAGAAGGTAGACCATTATGGAAAACCTGGAAGTATCGGACAGCCGTTTCTTCCTATTGTGGGACTCTTTAGTGGTAGTGCGCATCCATGTTCCCGCCTCGAGAAATTCGAACCCACGACCTATCAGTTTCGAGCGTGAGCGCCTAACTTCCAGACCTCCATGTTGATCTAGCATCAATCGATTAATAATCTCAACCAATAAAATTACTAAAATTTCCACAAAACCTCCTTCTAATAATGATCATATGCTCACTAGTAACTGGCTCCATGAGATATTTCTTGGAGTTCTAGTGAGAAGCATTGACCAAAAGAATTCAACTCAGTCTGTTGTGAGATAGTAACTCGCTGAAGACATTAGTGAATGTGTCGATCAATTCCGTGGATTGGTTGAAGTTAGACCATAATACCGTTGGATGTTGGCCAGCTCAGTGGTCTATCGGTTAAGTAGTCGCGTACAAAACTGATAGGTCTTACGTTCGAATCTCGTGAGGCGGGATCATGGATGCGCACTGCTACTGAGGAGTCCCATAATCGGACGAAACGACCTTACAGTGCTTCCAGGTTTTCCATGGTGTCCTAGCTTCAATTGATTCATAATCTCAACTATATAACATTACTATAATCTTTACAAAACCCCCTACTGATAACAATAATAATAATAATAACTTACCATCTTGAATTGATGAATGAATCCAAAATAGAATGAAATGAATATAAATTAATAAGCTGTAATGCATAATGATTTAATTAGTCTTCATTATTATTCTATTTATTTCATTGATAGACATTATGTAATTTATATAGGTTGTATATTACAGGTTATTTTATAAATCAAACTGATTTGTTATTTGATTCTGTTACTAATACAATATCATTGATTGGTTAATATTCAATGAAAATGAATCAATATTATTGATTATTTATTTTGTTTATTAATTAATTGGATTGAGAATGTCCTGGTATAGCTGACGATGGTGACGGTGGTGGTGGTGGTGGTGGGGAGGAGGAGTTCGCTTTTACTCTCCAAAATACTCTTACATAGTCATGAGTTTACAGCTACTATCAAGAAATTCCTATTCACTGCCTTTTTACAACATTAATGTTGTTTAAAAAATTGAGAGGACGAAGAGAGAATATACGGTGATCTAAACAGATTAGTGGGTAAGGAGGATCTATTTAGGAGAGATAGAAAACTGTGATATCGAACCAATGGTACATATGAGATCTTGAGGAAACAAATGACATATGAACTAATTGTTGATCACCGTCTACCATGAGACTACATCTACTGACATTGTCTTATTGCCTTGTGAATCAGACTTACAGATAAAAGACTCAGAATGTGGTCCCCTCCCCAAAGAAAACAAACCTACTTTTGTTTAGACATCGGGATAGTTTCACAGACATTACACACAAATCAAATAACTTGTGCAGCTCATATCTATTCAGTAAGCCTTTGTACTAATACTTAATAATGAGAGTACGTTGAGTTTACTATTCATTATTGATAAAATTCTTTTGTTTATTTCGATAATAATGCCAGATGAATTCATTGAATGTGTATATATGCTCAAGACACCGTTTACTGGCTGAATATACTAAACAACAATAAAACTGAAATCTTACATTACTACTCATAGTCAATGAAATTGTTTTGTTGTTTTATTTAATATGCAGCTCTATTCAATTGAGTGAAACACATTGTATTCAACGTATAAAATGATTGATCTCATACGGATACAAGGAAGTAGACAGTCTATATGCTCACATGAAAATATTACATCAAATACCGTAAGCAAAGACGAATAGTGGGTAGCAGTGGAATCCAGTTTGACGCGCGTTTCCTTCGATTTGGTATTCGTCAGCTGGATGTACCTGCATTTCAGAGTTGATGTTCACTCTGGGACTCGAACCCAGTAACTTTCGCTTTAAACGCCATCACGTTATTCACTGAGCTACTGAGTCATGAGTTCGAGTCCTAGAATGAACATCAACTCTGAGATGCAGGTACATCCAGCTAACGAGTACCAAATAGGAGGAAACGCACGTCAAACTGCATTCCACTGCTAGCCACTATCCATCTTTACTTATAATGCTTGTGAATTAAGACTGTATCGAAGCAATACACACAGTATGTACATATGTCAATTATAGACTGACCAGTTGCAGTCCTGAACATCAATGGGAAGATTCAAACAAACAATACTAAATGAATTACATCTAATATATCATTGGAACAGATCTCAAATTATTTATATTCATTCAACAGTATTCGGCTACTATTGTCAATTGTAAGACCTTTACCAATGATTTCATTCCCTTCAACATTTACTTATTCCCAGTTTCAAATCAATGAGATCTGGAAGAAGAAGAAGCTCTTATCAATAGTGTACGATATTTGTTGTACATGTTCTGTCCATTAGAAAAAGACATTTGAAGTGGATAGGACATACAGTGAGGAAATCAAACTGCGCCATCAGGGAAGCTTAACTTGGAATCCTGAAGGGAAGCTGAATGGCGGGAGGCCAAATAACACATTACACCGAGAAATAGAAACAGACATGAAAATGATGATTGTTAACTGGAAAGAACTGGAAAGGTTTGCCCAGGACAGGTTTGGATGAAGAATGCTGGTGGGTGGTCTATGCTCCTCGACGAGGAGTAACAGGCGTAAGGAAGTAAGTAAGTACCAGATTATAAATTTAATGTATTCACACTATGATTGAATGATAACAATTGGAATTACAGCATGGAGACAGTTGAATTAATCTTTGTAATCCAACAACCATTAGATTTGTTAATAGGTGATGATACATGAATTTATCTATGGGAATTGATTGACATTTCAGTTCATTAAAAATATAAATAATATCGTGGTATACACCACTGACATCGATAGATATTAGTAGTATGTATCACCAATCAAAAGATATGTATGAGCATAACAACAAAGCCACTAACTTCTGATCTGCTATCCTAGTGTATTCATTTAAAAGTACATGTATGATACAAGAAAGAAGTCTGAGATTTCAACTGTTAGAAAGAAACCTCTATACATGAAACTACAATTCAACGGGGATGTGGCTAGTGATACTCTGAAAGATAGGTTAATGAAAGTAATAAGTGGAACATTCTACGCAGCCAACCTTACGTTGAGTTTCTCGAGTCGACCAGCGGTGTCTACTCAAATAAAAAAAAGTTACCTGAGTTGGCCATCTCTATGTGTATTTACAGGTTCAACTGCTCCTGTGGAGATACCTATATCGGGCGTACTACTACACAACTTAACCAACGAATGAGTGAACATTTACCAGCATGGTTTGGAATGGGCCAGATAAAAACAATACACAATTCTCTCTTGGCACATCTTATTGATAGTGGTCATAATGTAGATAAATCGAAATCATTTCAAGTGATCTATCATATACCTCCATCATTTCTCAACGGTGTTCGTTCCCGTCTCATTCGTATAGCAGAAGTTTAATTTTGTTATCATTTGTTTGTAATTTTCCGCCTATTTCCGTTTGTATTCTTCACTATCAGTTTGCCATTAACATTCAATTCTTTCGTGTAGTTAATGAATTCGAAAGTGTTATGTAGAAAATGGATATGAATACGTCTTCTTACAGGTTCCCAGGGATCTCCTACCACCTTTACTATAGAGTGATAAGTGGATTCGGATATGACAAGAATTGGTCGGAAAGGTAATCCAGGTTGGTTCACTTTAAGCAAACTATATAATTGTGAGTTTGTTGGTCCAGTTACTTTAATGAGCTTGTAGAGTTGTTTGTTTGTTGTATATTTTGTTTAAAATAATCTAAGAACATTACCTGGTTTGGCTGAGAACAGTTGAGAACCCCTTATCAAGAATTTCTCTACCCAGTATCCTGTAAACATAGGCTAATCGATGATAGTAGTACAAATTCATCGTCAAGATTAGTAGAAAGTTTCTTAAAACAGATTTCGTGTTTTTTTAGGTCTATCGAATCATTTGCCAGACATTTGAACAAACCGAAATCATGTACAAAAGATACTTCTACAATCTCTTATTCTATCATAGTTATAATTTCTCGTAAGTTCTTTTTCGTTTTCTTTTCTTCAGTGTATAACCATGTGTTTCAATTCTAACTTCTTCTTCTTCTCTATACAATTTCTGTTGAAACTCATTTGTTACGATTTCTGTGATCATCCTGACTGAAGTTCAACACGACAATTTCAACATTGTATCTAATACAAACTTAGATATTCCATTCCAATAGATCGTCATGATGAATTCATATTTAAGCTCTCAATAATGTCATTATTATCAGAAGGAGTTTTGTGGAGATTTAAATATTTTCATAGTTGAAATCATGAATCGTTTGATGGTATATCATCATGGAAAACCTGAAAGCACTGCAAGGTGTTTCGTCCGATTGTGGGACTCTTCAGCAGTGCGCATCCATGATCCTGCCTCACCAGATTCGAACACAAGTCAACCAACACACCCCATTTCAACATTGAATCACTTAAGAGACTAATTTCACGTTTTTCAAGATTACTCATACACCAGCTCACGTTAAATACCGATGTAGGTAGTGGTCAGGCATAATCAATGTAAATCCATGACATCTCAGTCGATGATCAATCAATAGTGAATCAAACGATTTACCATGTTATTCTAATAATTTCCGTCCTACCACCAGATTCCCATCATGCACAAGACATAACTGACCACCATTGCAAATCTAGAGATGTCATCGACAAAGTGAATTGAAATGGTATGAGTACATTTCTCTCCAAAATACTATCGACCTTAATCAGTCGATTATTACACAATATAATATATCCTGTACACATTAAGTGATAAGTCATCTATGTGGACGGTTGAATTGGTTTGCTAAGATATTGTAATAATCTCAGACTAAATCTAGACGACCAAATGCAAAGGAGAGAAGAGGTGCAAAGTGTGAAAAGAACCACTTTACTTCTAGATTAGTTCATACATAGAAAATATAAGGTACTTATTGTATTTCAGATGATCTTGAGCTTCTAACAGTTACTGGAACCAAAATGAACCTTGCTGCACGATAGGTAATCATCCAATAACAAACAGGATACGTGAGTCTTCACTATTGAGATGTTTCTGAAAAACGTCTATGTTTCCTATTGTTTTCATCGTCACTCCTAAATACTTTTAAAACACCTTCCTTCTTCTTCTTCCACTAAATAAAACTTTATCTTCGGGTTGAATTACCATATTAATCAGTACATATCACTTTATAATAATAAAGAAAAAAGGATGAATCAATAACTTGAAATTTATATACTACTTTAATAGTTATAAGTAAGAGTGAACAGAATTCATTTCAATAAAATCTTTATTATGAAATGACAAAGAAATAATAATAATAATAAAATTATAAGAAGGGGGTTTTGTGGAGATTTTAGTAATTTTATAAAGTTGAGATCATGAGTCAATTGAAGCTAGACCACCATGAAAAATCTGGAAGCACTGGACGGCTATTGACTAGTGACTGGCTCCATGAGGTATTTCCTGGAGTTCTAGTGAGAAGCAGTAACCAGTGCAGTTCAACCAGGTCTGTTGAGAGATATCAACTCACTGAAAACATTGGTGAATTGTTGCTCAATTTCGTGGAATAGTTGAAGTTAGACATTAACACCATTGGATGCCAGCCACCTAAGTGGTGTAGAAGTTAAGTCCTCGCGCGCGAAACTGATAGACCGTGGGTTCGAA